ATGTGAATTCTGTGTGCACAACAAAACTAAACCTGTTCTCCCATTCACGCGTAATCTGACACCCAAGGATGTGAAAAAACTGAATACAAAAACAAAGACTACACCTCATTGACAACAGTGGTCTGAATTACATGTCACCTGAAAAGCAGTCACAAAGGTAGGCATTTGAGTGAGTCACACACTTGTATAATGACTGCAACTAAGTATTGCTTTGGGTTATTTGCAGATGGATGTGTCACAAACATTTGAGGAATGAGGTTGAGGCCAATAAAAGTAACATTTAATTTAGTTTCAAAAGAATGAACTATGGAAGATAATTTGTTACATCAGATTTTGAAATTCGCAGAAATGCAGCAAAGATCAAAGATGCCAAACCTTAAGCAATCGATCCTAAGTGATCTAACTTAGTAACACAGGAAATAGTGTAATGAATCAGACAGAAGTAGCATCATCAAAACCTCATCTCTTTTATTTCTTTAAGTGTAAACCTCGGCCACAGATGAGATAGGCCAATAGAAAACAGCTGCCTCTGTCCTCCTCACTTACACATGATACATTGCTTCTGTCTCGGCATCTTGGATCTTTGCTGTGAATTTTTTCACTGCGAATTTTGCACTCTGAATTTTTACTGTTGAATATGAGGGCTTGAAAATATCTGTGCTGATAATTTAAAAGGTGAAATTTTTATATATATTGAAACAGCACGCTTAACATTTCAGCAACTAAAATTCAAAATAAAAATAATTCAAACATGCTTTTTTAGAGCTAAAAAATTCAAAATCTGATGAAACAAATTATCTTCCATATTGAATAAAATAAGATAATGTACAATTCAGCTATGCTAATTTATTTGTACTACAGGACAAATATTATTATATAATATTATTTGTCAAAAAATAATATGTGATTAATTAATCCACACAAGTTTATATTGTACTATATGCACTATATGTCCATAATAAAACCCACATATTTTCATACCCGGTGATAGAGGGTGGGCAGTTTTGGAGAAAAGAATTATTAGTATGTATAGATATTGGATTATCTCCATGACAAAATTTAGACACTATTGCAGCAGTCTATTGGAAAAATTGCTAAAACATGCCTGTAAAGAGTCACATCTCACACAAAATGTAAATTAACTGTAAAACTTTATTATATTATATTATATATTATTTATTATATCCAATACCAATGAGATGCCCCTACTAATGCTAATATAAAATCAGTCATTTCTGCATGGTAAAAAAAATTCCCATGTAGGGTTGTCAAGATAATAATTATTCCACTGGTGAAAAATGTGGTATAAAAATCTAAATATGAGTGTTGTTTCACTACTCCCGCCTCTCCTTTATGATTTCTATCTTTATATATGAAGTCAAAGGTTCATTAGAAAAACCATTCCACAGTAGCTCATTCCCGCCTACATGCTCTTTACCAAGTGACCATATTCGAGCATGTAAGTATGCAGATATGCCACAGCTGTCCTAGTGATGTGTGATAAGAGCAGATATGGGCCCTGCAGCCGCTCCAGTCAAACCTCAGTGGAATTTGACCTCTAAGTAAACATTCATTCATACACATCCAGATATAGTATTAAACTCACCTGCATTATCAACCTGATAAACTGGTTTCACTTTCTACATGAAAACTCTACCCTTACTAAAGATACAGAACTTCATGACAAAAACCCCACATCTCATCAATCTGATTATGACAACAAAATCAACCAGAAAAAAGATTCTAGAGGGTTTTACTCCAAAAATAAAAATTTCCTCTTGAATTTTAATCAAGATTGAGATTCAGCCATTTGTAATTGTGATACTTTGTTGTTTTCAACAGTAAAAACACGTGGTTTGGAGCATTCATAATTTGTAGAAAGAAACTGGATTTCAAAAATTATTATTTTATTTTTAAATGGTATTGATTAAAGATCTATCTTGTGTATGTTCATGGAATCAATACTGAAAGTGATTTGAATTGGTTTTAGAAAAAAAAAAAAAATCAATCAAGCTTGTTCAAGGAATTACTACTAACCAGTATCAAAACTAGATACTCAAATATTGTGTTGGCTGTTGAAGACTGCAAATAACAAGTGAAAAATGTTCCTCCATAAACAGCTTTGTCACCACCCCTCGCTCTCATCTCTGATACTGCTCTGACAATTCCCCCTTCACTCGTCGTCTCTGTACAAGTCGCCCAATGCCCTGGCTTGCTCCTTGTGTCTCCTCTCAGCACTTTATTGCCTTCAGCCTGTGCTTGCGGGGAACTATTACACAGATCAGATTGCACAACAACTCAACAGGCCTTCACAACATCCAGCTCCTTAAGCGGCTGTAAAAGGCACCTCCATGAAAATTACAGGAATTTTTACTCCAGTGTGCACAAACTTTGACCTTGTAATAAGGCATGTGGTTCACTATGCATGAGCAGAATAACATCAAACTGCAAAGTATCAGGCTCATGCTGTCACAATAAAGAAATACGTGCCTTCTAATATAAACAATGATTATACATGGTTGTATAAGGATTACAGCTGGGGTTCTTCATGATTTGATAAGATTGTATTGTGAGCCATGTGTTGTGTATCATATCACAATACATGTGATAATCAATATAATGCACATGAAATATTACTGTTTTTAAGAACCGAATACATTTTAACAACAGTATTTCTTTGTTAAACCACCACTTGTGCACATTTTCCACTAAATAAGCAACAAAATTGTCATGTGGTCACAAAAAAATGCTAAAAGAAAATACTCTTGGTGATATATTGATACAGCAGCCCACGATGTCAACAGTGTATAACAAAATTTTGTATGACTATATCAATATTTCAGAATATTTGCACACCCCTAATAAAGATGAAAATGATGGGGCTGCACTGATGTTATGAGAAAATGGTGCAAAATCCAATGACTATGTTTTGTTTATAAAGTTAAAAATATTACTGCAATATTTTAAATACTTTTTGATGAAAAATGTTCAGTTAAATTCAAACCAAAACTTCAGTTCAAAAAAGGTTAAAATAGGATAAGTCTCACTTTGGTTTTATTTATTATTATTATTATTATTTTTTTTTTTACAAATCTAGGATATCCATTCAGATAAAATAGATCCTAACTATCCTAAAGCTCAGGAGTCTTACTGTGGAGAAATACAAGCTTTGCACACACTCATTTACCTTCGATTTATGCCCTTCTTGAATGACCGTCTCATAGCCATAAGGTTGCCAGTTTGATCCCAGCTCTGTTGTTGCATCCCTGGGCAAGACTCTATCCTCACCCATCTCGCTTGTGTGAATGTGCTACATGTGCATGAGTGAGTGCTGCTAGGGAGGCTCTTGGCACAGACTGGCAGCCATGTTTCTTCTTACCACCTTCAAGTATGTCAATCAATTAATATTACTTTCACAATTTACCAACTTTCAAGAACTGGCCAGTACAAGAGGGCATTGTTGTTGTGTAGCCAGTCAAAACAGCACATTTCAACTATGCAAGTCAAAACATGCAGTCCCTCATCCCCCATAGATTACCTCACCTCAAATGACCAGTGCTGTGTCTTGTATGGTACATCTTTGACTCATAATAAATGTTACTGATGTTGATACCCGCTGGTGGAGAGCCATCCTACATTTAAGCTAAACCAGCCACATCCTGCCTGCAACAGACCTTACCATCATGTTTGTACCACAACAAAATATTTCATCCAGCAAAACAAAAGCATGCCAGTAAGAACAGGGGATTTTCCAGGCAGCACTCTCTTGCACAGTGTGGTTAATTCACAAACACGATCCAACAATCACATTGGCATTATTTGCGACAACACAATCGCATAATCTTCGCCTGAAAAGTAAAAAATATTAATCAACTCGAACAATATATAAATTAAAAAACTAATCTAGCAACCAGCTAGTGGGAATGCAAAGGGAAAAAGTTTCCGCCTGAACATTAAAATATTTCACAACGTGCAATTCGAAACAAATGACTTTCTAAAATGTTACGGTATTGTTTCAACAGGTTGATACCGAGTTACCCAGGCCGATTTTTGCGGTCACTCACCTTTCCGCCAACTTCTCGGTCGATTGCGCTCGGAAGTTGTAGATATTTCCCTCAAAGAAAAGAATGCTGAGTTTGAGTTCTTGCAGTTTGTTAGTGTTAGATCGCGCTTTTCCAGTCACTGAGTTGATAAAGATAAGTAGAGTATGTAGGCAGCCTCCAGGAGCAGCGTAAATATCTGTATGCTGCTCAGATCTGCTCGTAGATCTGCTCCCCCTCTCTCGGTTTGGGCGGTAACGCTCAAAACGGTGACGTCAACACGTTACTGTTACCGTACAGTCGTAATAGTGACGCACGATTATATCAATTACGGTAACTTGCAAACACAATGAAGCGCGCACAATGCCCAGAGCGTACTGTACATCTATGTATGTTTGTATCATTAAGTAATAGAAAAAAAGGGCTTTACATAATCCTAAGAACCACTTTTAAAAATTGGAGATGGAAAATACTGCAGCCTATTTACACATCAGAAAGAATGACAAAAAGTTATAGTATAGAAATAAAACAATAAAACTATATCAGAACCAGAACCATTTTGTTATGCCACCAAGCATTCATTCTAAAGTCAATAGTCAATATCTAAAAGTATTTATTGCATACAATGAAATATACTTTTGAAGAGTTTGAACAATAAATGCTGTGTTTAACAGTAGTAATTATGAAAAGTATATTGTAATGCTAAATGTGGCATAATGTATAATGTGTGTTGTTCAACGTACTACGCACAAATCTAATTTATTATTTTTCATCAACTGAGACAACAGTTTTTTTGATCAATGGAGATTTGTCATCATAAGCAGCACTCTTACTGCCTATAAAACTCTGGATCTGTGTAACAAATACAGAGAGGTATCCTTCTGGATTTCCAGGCAAGCAATTTTACATTCGCTGCAGTTGAGTTTAAAAACCTACTAGACATTCGAAATGGGCCAGAAGTGAGCTGCATTTAAATGTTTAGTATTTGAAGAAAAAAATATAGGTTCTTTACATACTGTACGTTTTGCAGGATATGCATGCTGTTTATACCAAATATAATAAAGAAAGCTTTGGAGAGTTACACTTCAAGGGGTCTGGAGCAAACCTTTAGTTGATTGCCATACCACCTTTAATGTTTTTAGGCATGTCTGCCATCAACAGCTGTAACTTCATGAGTGATTGTAAACTAAAACATACATACATTTAATAACATGTTTTTGTGATTTGTTAATTTACATGTGCACCTAAAATAAACAAATCTGTTTAAAATCAGTAATTTCAAATGAGGAACATTTTAAAATTTCAGTCTGAATGAAAAAAAGGAACTGGAAATGGATGGCTAAAAATCTTACTAAGCATAACAACAGTATTGAACAAAAATACATAAAAATTCATATATTAGCAATGAGTATATATAATATACAAACAGTATACATACAGTCTGTGAAACAGTGGTAAAGAGGACAAACAATAAAAAAGGACTACTTCTCAATGACACAGAGTGCAGAGTCATTTACACCAAAACAGCTAGGTGTGTTTGTGGTTACAGTACCGCTGTCAGCAGAAGAAGCAGGTTTACTGACCACTCTGTGCCACTGCTGGCGGTTAAAGCAGTAAGTCAGCATGCAAGCTGTATACAATATACAGTAAGTGTTTATAAACCTTGTATTAATCGAACTGGTGTAATACCTCATTCCTCCAAGAGTGGTCCACGGTAGAAAAGGCTTCAGAGATTCAATGTCCAGATGACAGATGACTTTGAAGCTTTTTCTACCCTCTATTAATCATTCAACAACAAACATTTCAAAGTAAGTTGTTTTTGTTGATCAAAAATCATCTCTGTGAGCATCCCTGCTGAGACTGGCCATAATGTTTTTGTTATTAGTTTGAGTTGAAAATTACAAATAATAAATTTTTTAAAAAATCTGATCCAAACTTTTCAATTTGCAGACCCGTATGGTGCTGGCACAGAGCTGAGGCAGTAAACCTGACAGTGGTGAAGAGTGGTTAAGGGCTGAAGACAGCTAAGTGCCACAGGTAGAACCAGTGACACACACAGTGAGGGTACTTGACTGAGCATGTGTACATCTGTGTGCACAGGGGAAGACTCATGGGACTGGAAACACAAGTGTCCTGGGAAAGAAGAGAGACAAACATTAAGAAAAGTCTAAACAAGAAAGACAGGCTGCAAAAAGTCATGACTTGCTAAGCTACATATGTTAAACACTTTTCTATAAGCTCAACTACTTTATCAATCTAACTTTGCTCAAAAAATGCACTGAAACTAATACTGCCTATATAACACACGCAGAACACAAGACTTGGTCAAACTAATGATAGCAACCCTATAACTGTAATAAGTTTGCATATAAAACACTAGAAAAGCACTCAGAGAGCGCAGACCTCTGCCAAGGACTACAGTCCCCCTCATATTAATTGTGTTTTCCATAAATATTTGTCTCGTATCTTTCAATTTGGAATATGAAAGAGGATCCGATTGTCCATCCCTGAGTCAAATTTCATGGGGTTTGGTCAATAATTAATCGAGATATTGAGAAACAAAATTTTTGGCCCCATTTACCACAATGTTAACTAAAATTTCAAAGTGATCCAGAATCCAGGATTTTTTCACATTTCCAACAAATCCTGAAAATTTCATCAAAATCGGTCCATAACTTTTTGAGTTATGTTGCTAACAGACAAACAAACAGACAAACGCCGGCAAAAACATAACCTCCTTGGCGGAGGTAATAAAATAGATGAAAAGAGATTACCTCTTTGTCACATTGTTCGGCTGTACTGGATGCCTGTCTTGGACGCAAGGTTGGACCAGGGCAGCAAGGAGCGCAGCAGGGACTGGGCCTGTCGGTACAGCCTCTGTGGGAGGGAGCAGGGACTGAGGCTGGCCAGAGTGGCCCCAATGTGTTGGATATAATCAGTGAAAACAGGTTAAGGAAGAGCTCACATTACCTGGTTTACACTGATACAATAATGGTTCTGTCAGAATGGTTGAGTTAGATGGTAAATGGTCACATTTTTATATAGAACTTTTCCACCTTCAAGGCACTCAAAGTGCTTTACAACAAGAAACCACTTACCCATTCACACACACATTCATACACCAGTGTAAAAACTGGGAGCGAGGTAGGTTAAGTGTCTTGCCCAAGGACACATTGACAGCAATCATCTGCGGGAGCTAGAATCGTACCACCAACCTGTGGGTCAGTGGATCAGACTGCTCAACCAATTTTTTTTTGTCGAGAGCGGGATTAGCAGTTAAGAGTTTCATTACCAACCTTACATGTGTGAGAATATATTGCCTTTGAAAAAACAAATGTGCTAATAATAAGATGGAGTCAGGAGCTCAAAACAATGTGTGTTGTGCTAATTATTCATAAATAATACAAATCTGGGTGCCAAGACCAACAAGGGAGCCCATGTCATTTGCAGTTTAGCATCGTACCCAAGTACAATGCATATAACAGTGTGCTAATATTGCAATATGAATAATTAACATTATTATGTGTATGTGTTGAATAATTAAAACCTATTTAAAGACAACATAATTACACCAAAAACTCAAAGGATATAAGATTGTCCATGGTGGATGTCCTCCGTTAATGTACAGAACATAAGTGAATCCATCTTTGAGGACCCCTCTTATGGAGTAGTAATAGGGCAAGTAGTGGTGCTGTCTGAAGTCCCTGTTCTCATAGAAGTGGATGGCAGTGTTGTTGGTGGTGAGGACGTGTAGATAGATGGCCTTACAGTGGTCCTGCGCGGTGGTCGAGATGTGCTCCTTCAGACTGTCCAGCAGCAGGGAGCCTACAGGCAAAATCAATAAGATTAGAGGCTCCAAATCCAAATATTTAGTGAATGTGCTTAATGCAACAATTTTGGACCATTTAATGCTCTACACTTACATACTTAGTTTTGAGAGATTGAAATGCAAATAGCTTATTATCTATTTGCATTCAGAACTACTGGAAGCATTTGATATAATTTCTAGTGAGAGTAGTGAATATTTACCATCAAAATTGGATGTGTGTATGTGTGTGCGTGTGTTTGTTTGTTTAAAAGATAATCTTACCTATGCCTTGTTTCCTAAACTCTTTGACCACTCCCAGGCTCAGAATGTATGCTACCTGTGTGTCCACAGGGAAACTGGAGGCCAAGATGTCTCCATCCTAATACAAACACACATGATGAAAACTGTTTTTTAATCTCTTCAAAACCACACATAAATACATTTTTGAGTGACATAATAACTTCATTAAAAGTCATAACAACATAATATGAGGGCTCCAGAACTGCCTACAGTCAAAGTTGCCTAGATTTTATTCCAATGTAATGTGAGAGGTCTAAACAAATAGACTTGTGTCAAGGCAAATTCTTAAATGCAAATGATGGACTTTGTTCAAGGTAAATATGTACTTGAATAAAAGCATTGTACCTCTTTGTGTACTTTGGTCCGGCCTTTGATCTCAGCCACAATCATTCCCACAATGCCTCCTCTGAAGGTGGCTGCCAGGGAGAAGAACTTTTTGTTGGATGTGATGTCCTGATACCATGAGTCTGGGTACCTATAATTAAGATAATTATTTCAGCAACTGCTACTGTTCTACAATGGGAATCCAATGGTGGAATGATTATACTATTGCTGTTGTAACACGATCTCACTAAACACCACCAGCAACCATTTTGTTGGCATTCTACTGCATACACTACATAATCATACTAGACTTACTCGATTGGAAACCAATCCCCACAGAGCAGCTTGACACTGTCTATGTCATCATGACAGAGGAAGCGGAGTTGGACTTCACTGAGAGCTGCGGGGGGCACCACGTCACTCATTCACACCTGCAAACATGTAAACAGACAGTGGAGTTAGTTTCAACAGTGGAGTCAGTTTCTTTTGATTAAATTTCACTAAAACACTCCAGTAATTAGTTTAAAAGTTAGTTGTATTTAAGATCCATTACTGTTATATATATATATATTTTTTATTCCTTCTCATTTACAGAGACATAAGTCAAGTTTTATACATAACCACCTTATAACATTTGCATACATCCAAAGATAAAGTAACAACTATTTGCCAAAAATAGCTCGCTTAAGGTTTAACTTGAAAGATTTCACGTAGCTGTCACAGACAATAATAAATAGACTAATACTGGGTTTACCGTTTATGATCCTAGGTAAACATGTAAGATAAAACATTAAGCGTATTTTTATATACATGCAATCAGCTGGCTGGTGATTAGCGGACATGCTAACAGGAGCTAACGCGGCTAGCATTAGACGTCTCAGTCAACCTACCTTGTTTTAACACTGCAACCACAGCAAAGTCTGAAACTAGTCTACTCCTTGCTGTCGGTCACCTCAGTCACTACTCCGGACACACCATAATAAATCCGGTTTTTACTCCCAGATTCCAGGATTAGTTCATTGCTATTTGGTGACAGATCGGAGCGGCGTCTGCTCAGCTAACAGCTGGATGTTTACTTCCTGTTTGGATTACGTCAAAGCTGCTCAGCTCCGCCCACTAGAAAAATCATATTTACCAACTGTCAAAAGTAGGCCTATGTCAACAATTAACAGTTTTAAATTGTTCTGTGTTTACTTAATTATTATAATTGTGTTTAAATTACCAAATTCTTTGTCACGATTTTATGAATTTTGTGAATGGTATATTTGTCTGTGGGTTTCGTGTTGTGTAATGTGAAGATGACATACTCTCAAATGAGGGCAAGGGACAGATTTTCCAATTGATTACATTGTCCTTTACCATAAAATATCCAAAAGGTAAATGCACAAATGTTCTGTTCATTTCTATGAGTGATTCAACTCAAGAAAGCACTGTATTACAACAAAAATATGCATTTAAGCTATAATAATTTTAGCTTCCCCATCGGTATTACATATTTTTGGTCCACAGAATGTTGTGATGTCGTTTGAAACCCTGCAATACTATTAATTGGGGCAAGAGATAGTTTTTTCTATTAATAAAATCGTACTTTGTCATAAAATATCTTAAAATTAAATTTACAAATGTTGAACCTGATTATTTCTATTAGTGAATAGGTCCAAGAACAAAAATCTGCATTATAACTATGTACATTTAGTTGCCCCTCAGTCATCTGTATAAACATTAAATTAATCAAGGTAAAAAATAAATAAATTAATAAATTAACTAAAAAAAAACTAGGGCTGATCTGAGTGTATGGGGATAGCATGTTGCACTGCCTACCCCGGACAGTAGATGGCGGTATTAGACAGTGGTCGTTTGTTACTCCTCCCCTGCTCGTGATGAAGAAGAAGGGAGTCGCAGAATGGAGGGTAAGTTGTTCAAATTATTTCTGAATTTTGCGTTATACATTTAAATAGTTCTTAAAAGGCATGCTTAATGCAGTAAAATTACTTAAATAAAACTTGACTCACTTGCTGCAGCGCGTGATCAACTCTTACTAACCCTGCTGTGGTCCCTATAGTATACAGGCTATATTTGTTTACCATTTGCTTTGTCTCGGCGCTATCTGTTAATTACACTATAGTTTGTACGAATTGACCAGAGTTTTGAATTTAGACATCATGTACTATATCTGACGCTGTTATGTACAAAAATTAACATCATTATAATACATCCTTGTTGTTAGATTTATTTTGGATCCCACCCTGCTTCCATGTTATAAAAAGAGGCGATGGCTACATTTCGGGGATTATCAACAATGAAAATGAGCTGACCACATTGTTGGAGAGCCACAGCCGGGCCACTTATACCTCATACATCAAGTGGTAAGTTACTGGGTCACATATAGAAACCTTCTTTATGGGTTAATCTCAGTTGCCTTTTCTTGTTTGATCCTTTACTTAGGTCTGACCATACGAGAGAAACTTGCAACAATGGACGACAGTTTTGGCAAGTGGACGACTACTCAGAGGATGTGCCCTTGTGTGTGCGAAGGAGAATCATACTGTTGTGTCAGCACGGCAAGGCTTATGTGAAAAAAGCCAAGGTAGGTACACATCCAGTACAACTCACAGTTGGCACTTGGTAAATAACAATCGTATGAAGTACTCCTCACTTACGAGTCCTGTTGATTTTTGTCATTATTTGGTCAGGACAATGCATGTTAATGAACATACATATTATTATATTATATGCTATAAATATGGTAAATTGTTGCCAGGAATCCATTGCAACTTATTTGCCCTCACTAGCACTCCCATTCATGTACCACTTAGTGTAAGTGTACATGGATACCGGAGGCAATATTGGTGAAGTGTCTTCCCAAAGACACAATGTCAGCATGCATTTTTCCTTCAAATTTTGGGCTGGTGGACAACCGCTTTAACCACAAAGCTACTGTTTTTTTCATAGTTCAGCTTTGACACACTTAGGATCTATGAACGTGACTTTGCTGATCACTATCATTTAACCTTCTGCAGGAGGAATGTCGGGATGTGGAACAGGAAAATATAAAAAGACGGGTTCGCAGCTCAAAGAAACTAAACTGTCCAGCCAAACTATTTATACGACACATTACAAGGTGAGCCTTCTGTATTTGAAAATATACAATTCGAATATTTTTACAAACTCAAGTCCGCATAATAATGACTGTAAACAACATTTGTTATTTTATTATTTAAGGTATGACACGTTCAGTGTCAAAGGGGATGCTTCCAGGACTCGAAAAGAAGAGGCTATGAGAAGACTTAAGCTGGCACTGTCCGAAACACATCCACCAACATCAACATTTCTGCACGTTAAACTTCCACTGGTAGAAGCTCACCGGAATCATGACATTTACCCCAGTATGATGATCAGCGGCTACAGCGGCGGGGTGCAGAGCATGGTTGAAGTTGAATCCAGTGGTGAAGGGGCTCTGCAAATGGAAAATGATGGTTGTAGAGTAGAGGGGAACATGGACATACAAGATAAAAAGAAAATTAAATTAGCACAGCAAACCTTCAGAAGAGAGCTGAAAAGACTAACAGAAGTATCATATTTATTTGAAGACCTTAAATCTTTAAAAACAACATCTGCTTTGCTGAAAAATATAAGACAGTCTATGGAAGCACAATGCCGTAAAGAAAATGGACCAAATAAAGAGCAAAATGGTAGACCACATGACAAACCGAAGACCAAACAGTCTAAGAAAGATAAATGAAACAGATTGAGGTTTGTTGTTTTTTTTAAATGGCTCCTCTGATTTTGTGTTCTATATTTTAATTGCAAGACAATATTAAGTCCAGGAGTTTATGTTTCTGTTTGAAATGGGTGAAGTGTGGAGAGAGTCTGCATGTCTGTGGGATTTTTCATATTATATTTATGCCATCTAACTAGATACTGATATAGCAAGCTAAATAATTATTTAAAATGCAGTCCACAAAAATGGAGCAGAGTTAGTTTTCTACTTACTGTATAGTGTATTGAATTGTCACTTTTAAAATAAAAAGTAGGTCACACAAAGTTGATCATAAATGCACTTAACTTATCTTGTTTAAAATGTCATCTGTTCAATCATTATTTCTTCCCTCAACCACTTATCGAATCGAGTTACACTACTAAAGATGTGTACTTTTTTGTAATATATTGATCCTTTATTATTATTTATTAATTTATTATTGCTCCTGTTTGATTTGTTTCTGTTGAGGCTTGTTACACAGCAAGGATACACAATATTAGCTTTAGTTTACTCATATTACATAGTGCCAATACTATATACAGTACTATTTTGTATGAATTATGATTTGTGTTACAATGCTATTACTATTTAGAAATAGACTGAGAGGGCTCAGATCTTCAGTACAGTGTTTGGACCTGTAGAAGACAAATGTTGGTGCCCCCTCCCCATGTGGACTGATGGATCACATGGCATTCCAGGTAAATAAAACCCACACCAGGGACAGGTGTCTTTTGGTGGAGAAGTTGAATACAGTCACATACTAGAAGACTTTACCAGGGCAACAGGCAAGTATAATTATTGTGTTTATTCTGTGTGGGCTCCTGTTCCTTTGAGTTTTGCATGAGTACATTATAATAGTAGTGGTTAAACTTCTGTTTCTAAAGGTAATTATTACTTGATAAAGTTACAGTTAGTGTAAGTAAGTTTAACAGTTTCAGCACAATGCTTAATAGTTGGCTTTCTAGTTATGTACTTAACTCAATTTAATACATTTAAAATGTTCTTATTATTGAGTTCATTTTGATTTTAACAGCTAAAACTTTTTTAAAGGGTTTTAGAGGACTGTTGTAATACCATGAATCACATTATTTAATAGTCAAAATGAAAATGTACTCTTAGGTGCACTATGTTGGAGGGCTGAATTTTCTGATGGAAAAATCTAGTGTTCTATGAAAATACTACAAGGATTTATAAATAACTGCTAAAAAAAAATTAACTTTATAGCATTCTTGCAAGCATGTAGTCAAAGACACAAGCAACAGCACTGTATGCAATGATAGTAAGCAAAGCAAGATAAGCCTAAACAAATGAATGTGCATTATATACAGCATGTGTATTATAAAAGGTTAGCTATATAAGTGCAGCTATATGTCCCAATAAAAAACATAGTCTTGCTATACTCTCAAATTGAGAGATTCTGAACACTTAGTTTAATCTTTGCCCCATGAGCTTAACATACTTAGTAACAGTAACAGTGATCAAGGTCATCTCTATTAACAGCTACAATGTTTTATACAATACACCAAAACTAACAAACAACTTCTCTATCAGAGCCTCCTAATCAGATATCAGACTCATGTGTATGGGTCCAGGTGGTATTGTCCCACACTCTCAGCCAACAGAGGTGTATTCACTGTGGTCTTTTATATTCCAGGATGCGTGTGCTGAGTACTGTGTGCTTGTGTGTGGCTTTGCTGCATGTGTGTAATGGTTTGCTGCTGGGAGCCTTCAACATAAAGTCATTTGGAGACACAAAGGCGTCCAACTCTACCCTTATGGACATCATCACTAAGGTTAGAAACACACTTTTATGTAATATTTATCCTGTATATAGCCTATTTTTGACTATACAGTTGTATTTTCACAACAAACACAATACAATACAATACAAGTCATACTGAAGACATACTAAAGGGATCTTATGTATGTTTTCCAAAGCACCAGTAACCTCTATGTTACCTTTCTTAGAACATTTTGACATATTTTTGACAGTAAACCCATAACCCTCATCCTCATTCTGGCCCTAACCTTAACCCTAGTCTCAAAATTAGGACCTGCTCAACCAGAACCCCAATTTAACAATTATAAAACCTTATAACAATGTCCCAACCATATTATACTCCATGGTCCTGACCTTTACTATAATTCTACAACAGTGCAAAGAGCTAACTACAACAATGAAATCACTCTCAGCGCAGAAGCAACTACAGACTTGTTTCTGTTCTGCAGGGGAAAATGCTGTTGGTCTGTTATGTGTTGTAGATTGTCCATCGCTATGACATCATCTTGATCCAGGAAGTGAGAGACAATGACCTGTCAGCCACAGAGAAGCTCATGTCTTATGTCAACAAGTCAGTTCACACCTTCACTCTACACATATACGAATAAAAGCATGCGCATTGAATTAAAAATTATATTTTAGGGGAGCTGCATTCACATACAACTACATTGTGAGTGAACCTCTGGGACGCAGCACCTACAAAGAGAGATATCTCTTCCTCTACAGGTTTTTACATTGTTTTCTTGCAGAAATAACTTTAGATTTTTTTTTGTCACAGCATTTATGTAAATAGCTGTTGCAAAAATTGATAGTTGACACCTTTCATGCAGAATGATCATAATATATTGTAAATGACCAAACCACTGCACATGTTGTTTCAGGGAGAAGACTGTGTCTGTGGTAAACAGCTACCTGTTCGATGATGGCTGTGAATCATGTGGAACTGACACCTTCAACAGAGAGCCCTTCAATGTCATGTTTTCCTCCAGCACCGGTATCACTCACACACTGATGTGTTCAATTCAATACTTGTTTAAATATTTTTCTAAACTATCAGCCTTAACATATACAATACCTCAACTGTGTACCTATAAAAAGAGTATATGTACTTGTGTGTGCTTTAGCTCTGCAGAAGTTCGTCCTAATCCCACAGCACACATCTCCAGAATCCGCCCTCAAGGAAGTGGATGCTCTTTACGATGTGGTGACTGATGTCCGCAAGCGCTGGAATACAAATGTACTCAAACACAAATACCATTTACAAAGTTATAATATTCATCATCCTGTAGTCATTATCTTATATTTATTCCTCTTTTTCTGTCCATCATTGACAGAACATTATCCTGCTCGGCGACTTCAACAGTGATTGTAATTACGTGACAGACTCGGAGTGGAACCAGATCAGACTCTTCACAGATAAGAGCTTCCACTGGCTGATCACAAATGATGCCGACACTACAGTCACCAACTCCAACTGTGCCTATGACAGGTACATTCATATGAACTCAGAAGTACTTAATGTTTCACTCAACTGTTCTTCTCTGTCTACAGGATTGTGGTGACGGCTGATGCTCTCAAAGGAGTGGTACCTGGCAGTGCCAAAGTCTTTGATTTTCAGGCAGCACTAAATCTGAAGCTTGAACTGGTAAAACAACAGAACATGATACTGCTGTATCGGTGTATTAAGTATAGATTTAGAGAGCTTTCTTAGGCTGTATATCATTAAATGCTCAGGTCTAACTATACACACAGTAAGGAACATGAAATTGAGTGGCCTTTTATATCTATTCCTCCTGCTTTTTTATTCCTACATCATACTAGGTAAAAATTTGTCCTTTTCTTTCTCTAGCTGAAGCCATATACAAATGTAGTGATTCAATTTGATCATCTTTCTCCCCCGTAGGCTTTGGCTGTGAGCGATCACTTCCCGGTGGAGGTATCTCTGTCTTAACTGGATCTGAATGGACATCGCTCCTACAGTTTTCCAACAAATCAGATCACAGATACATTATCAACATGTACTAATAAAATTTGGTGTCTGGTTTAGAGTGTTAATTTTTATTTTTCATCTCGCAAATTAGAATAAAAAGGAGAGGTCATTAATCCCTTTCATTTACATCAAATCCATGGAAATTTGAATAAAATGTTTTTACAGTTAGTTGGCACCCAGGTGATTGAAAAATAACATGTTACTGCAGGCAAAGTGGTCATTCAGGCTTTTCTCTTCTTCAGCATCTCCAGGTACATGCGTAGGGACTTCTGGATGGAGTCTTTAGTGATAAAGCTCACAAAGTTCTGTATGTCTGCTTCTCTATTTGATGTCAGCTTGTCAATAGTCGGCTTCCTCATCATGGACTTTGTAATTTGTCTGGCATGGTCTGGAAAAAAGGTTTTGAAACCTTTGTTACTATAATTGTTTATTTGATTAAATATTTAGATGACTTTAGTGTTTTCTTCATTAACCACATGTAAATGCAAATAACCAGTGTGACTACAAAAGTAAGTTGCCAAATATTATATAAGTTCATATTTTATCAAATCAACTATAGAAACTTTCTAAGAGTAGTGATGCATGTTTGGTTATATTGTGTTGTGCCATACCTGGAATAGCCAACCACTTTGTCATTGTTTCTGTGGCTGTGGTGAGGAGCTGATCCTGAGGCACGAGCTTGTCCACTAGTCCGATTTTGAGAGCCTCTGAGGGGCTGTAGAGAAGGCCCAGCTCCAGGGCCATCTCTGTGTTACGGTGGCCTACTGTGTTCACCATTGTGTCCTTAAACCTGTGTTGAACATTAGTCAGTGTCAAAAACTGAAGCTGAAAAGTTATAATTATTTTTAATAATATTTCTATCTATACCAGAAAGGAGCAACAATGCCAAGCAGTGTCTCATTAAGGCCAATGGTGTAGCGAGGGTTGTCAGCCATTATTCTGTAATCACAAGTTAAACCCAACAGACATCCTCCTGCGGGACTGGAGCCCTATGTGGGAAGAAAGCATTCAATGTTTACTAATATTAAAGTTTTTAAAAAAAAGATTCAGATAACGATTTGCTTAAAAATGTACACGTACATTGATAGCAGCTATAGTGACCATGTTTGATCCATAGATCTTGAGCCACATCTCCTGCACAGCTCTCCAGAACTCCCCACAGCGCTCCGGGCTCTTGCCATACATCTCCATGATGTCTAGCCCGGCTGAGAACACTTTGGGCTGGGTCTATGTTAAAACACTCCAGTTATTAAAAATACTTGTAAAGAATATACAGTAAAACACAAGTTGTACCGATGTGATGATTAGGCCTCTACAAGCCTTGTCCATCTCCAGCTTCTCCAGATTGATGCAGAGCTCTGTGAGGAAGTCTAAACTGAGGCTGTTCACTGGAGGACTCTGCATTGACAACACAGCCACACCTATAAAACACACAGTACGTTTAAAATATTAGATGTGAACTTCTTGCAAATTAACACAGTGAACATTGAAAATAACAAACCTGTGCTTTGGTTGAAGTCAACCTTAATCTTGGGAGCAGTTGTATTATTTCTCATCTGAGAGACAAGAACTGTAGAGACTCTGCCATGACTGCCACTGGACTGCAGAAGGCCTGCAAAATGTGCATACACAAAATTATCTGATTTTTTTTAAAAAATAGCATGTTTTCATAAATTGTATTATATTTTGAAATCCCACATTTTTGTTTCAGTCACACATTTTGGGAGAAATTAAATCTGCTGGTTAACAGATCGGACTAAACCACCAAGGAAATGAAAAAGTAAAAGTTTGACCTGGTTAGTTGCCTAATAGGGATGTAACAATATCCAAATCTCTCGGTACAATATTTTCACGATATGCATCTCACGGCATGGTATTTATTGTGATATTTTGTGGAGGCTAACAAAATTTTGAATATGCTACTTTTTCTTCTTAAAATGCCTTGACAAGACTTAATTCAAAGAAATAAGATTTAAAAGTGCTTAGAACTGTTATTTCTTCAGCAGTTCTAAGCAGCAAAAGGATCTTGGACGATGTAGTTCCCTCTGTTTTTTCCTGCTGTACCATATCAATGAATTTAAGCAAAGAAACTTGTGAATCGATATATTTCGATGGACCTCGATATTATCGAGAGACTTCTGAGGATACACCCCTATTGCCTAAAATTATATTGTGTGCTCTATATAAATAAAACATTGTCCTCAAATCAATGAAGACAAAAGCACACCATACAAATGTATCTTTTATACTACTGATTTATAATTTAATCACAGAAATAATTTGAGTTTTATAAATAGTTTCATCTCTGGACCTCTGCTACTTCACAATACTAAAACCCTTTGAAGCTTCTTCATCTATTCTGGTGGATGTGACAAATGGATTAGCAGGTTATTATTAAACATTAATTATTTAGCTTTTTCTACAGGTTATGTCGCGTCACTCCGCAAGACGAACACTTTTAAACTGTTATACGGTCAACTAGAAATGAGATGCAACTTTAAGTAAATATAAACCAATGAATGCTCTGAACTTTCACCTACATTTCGGGCTAAAGATCATGCAGCTATTCACCGAACTGCGCCATTTATAGATAAACATATTGCAATAAAGTTTTCCTTTCATGCAAACAGATACACATACCCAAAAAAGCACATTTCGGTCTGAGTGCAGCTCTCAATGCCATTTTGACCGACGCAATAAGCAAAAGCACACAGACTGCTATGTGTATATATATATATATATATACACACCACAACAGCGACTTCCGCGGTAACGGTCACGTGACACTTTTAGGGGCGGGGCATAAATAAAAGACCTGAATCTCACGTGGATTTTTTTTTTTTTTTTTAAATCATAAAATATCAATCACTTCCTATTTTCACTACCACCATTACTGATAATACTTGTCTAATGAAAATACATTTGGAATTCTGAAGTATTTTAAAACCGTAATGGCCAAACTAACAGATCAGTCACTAATACTACTGTCATTTTTTATTTTTTTTCTTGAACTTTCTTTTATTGTTTCTTTGCCCTGTACAACAACAGAAGGGTGTGAAAGTGAGAGAGTCAGAGAAAGATGAAGAGAGACTGAGAGACTGAGTGAGTGAGTGAGTGAGTGAGTGAGAGAGAGGGGGTTTAGTTGTGGGTGTTACTCACAGACTGTAT